GAGCCTGCCGCTGTCTGCTGTGAGCTGGCGGCAGTCACCTCTGCCCGCGGGAGAAGATATTTATAAGCACACTGCCAGTTCTCTTCTTTCCTTTTGGTACTTACTGGCGTCATGGTGACGAGCGGGGATGGACCGCGAGGCCGTTTCAGCAGTTGCTGTGCATGCAGCTGGATGTTAGCCCCGCCGTCGGACGCCCGCCGCCCCAGAGGGCCCATGCCGTTGAGCAGCTGCAGGGTGGGGGGCTGCAGCAGGGACTGCTCCTGGGAAGGGCAGACAGTGCAGTTATCAACCCTGCACCAGATCCCTCCCGTACCTGAGCCCCAACGTCACAAACCCAGACACTGACATGAGAGAACACAAGCCTTCTGGGCTTCAGGAAGAGATGAAGGAATATCACCAACATCTCAGAGCTGATGTGGGGCAGAGAGAGGCAGCATCAGCCAAAAAGCAGTGTTTAACTCTCCGTTTCCCCACACTCTGCTTTAGCTGCCAGGCACGCTGCGACCTGCAGCTCCAAAGCCAGGCAGTGCAGTCCTACTCCCCCCAGCCCACTAATTAATTTCATATTGCAGTGCTCTTTCCTTCTTCAGCTTTAAGTAACCAACTAGAAACACACCTGAAGAGACAGCAAGAGGGTAAATCTTGGAGCTTATGGAGTCCAAGGAAATGGTGAATAGAGAGCAAGCGCGAGCACAAGCACGCAGCCACGTGCCAGTGGGGCACAGACTGCAGCAGGGAGCACGTGCGTCAGTCAGTACCTTGTACTCCAGCTGACCCGTGGGCTGCAGGTTCTGCCGAGGCAGCACATTGTGCATGAAGTTCACATTTGGGGTCACCTGCAGGAACGGAGCCTGAGGAGTGACACGGGGGAAGCCAGGCAGGAGCTTCTGCAGATCTTCCATGACTTCCGTCCTGTGCAATCACATTTACAGAGAGGTGAGTTAGCAATGATGTGCCCAGGGCACTCAGCTTACGGTCACAGAGCAGCCAAGCCACTGTTTAGTTTTAATTTGCCCCTTTTTCCCCTCCAAGTGGAGATTTGCCAGAATTAGCTCTTTGCATCAACATCAATTGCATTTGTCACAAAAACATCACCTGGGACATGACAGTGGTGCAGGCTTAGGTGAGAAACTGGCTTGCACACCAGTAAACACCCCTATAGCTTAGACAGAGCTAATCAGGAAGAAGAGGAGGAAAGCACCTCATCCTCGTCCTCAGCTGAAATACTAACTAGGTTGTGCAATGGGACATTTAAAAACACTTTTGCTGAAGAGACACAAATAAATCTGTCACCACAGAAGGACCAAAGTCATGTGCTAGGAGTTAATCTCCAGGTTCCCCTAATCCTCCATCAGGGAGTTAGAGTCCAGTACTCACCGCGGGTCAGCTACTCCAACCGTGTGCCTTCTCATGGAGAGGTAACGGACCAGAGCTTCAGGTGATGGCTCTTCCCCTTCGTCACTGTCCAGGTTCATTGTTCCGTCAGTCTGGGCAAAACATAGCAGATGTTGAAATACAATGTGAGGATCAAGCAAAAGGCTTCAATGCGAGCCCGGGAAAAGAACTTGCAGGGGTCAAGGGGTGTACCTCACCTCCACAATTTGGTTCTCAGGGTTGATGAGCTGGACTTGTGGCACGTTGATGCTCATGGTGTTGCCTGTCTGTTCTGCCTGCTGAGCAGAGAGATCAAAATCAGAAGACATGAAACTAGCATCCCTCACAAACCCTTTACAAACACTGCTGGATTTGCACCAGGGCACAGACTGAAACACTTGGGAAAAGGGAGGTTACCCTGGAGCTGGTGAAGATCTGTTCATTCTTAATTGTCAAAGGGCTGCCTCATTTCCCTCCTCCCTTCTGTTCAGGCAGGGTCAGCATCAGTTCTGCTTCCCTTATGACTTGGCCTCTCTTGAAGCAAATACTAATTTCTTGGACAGCAGCACAAATCAGGGAAGAAGCACTGCACAGCAGTCCTGGTCTGTAAACCCCAGCTCCCAACCAGTAACCCTCACCTTGCCTTCTCCTCTGGCACTAAGCTAACACAAGACTTTGTCTGAAGGGTAGACGCTAAACCCACAGCCACTGAACAAACTGTTCCTAACCTCAGGACTATGGTACCCTAATACACACAAAGTTCTCAGATGAGGAACGTTTTGACACTCCTGCCAGGATGAGAACACCCACAAGCAAGCCTGAGTTTAGCAGTAAGGGACTGGCAGGCCTTCCAGGGCTGGAAGCATGCCCTGCAAGCAGCATCTACCTGGATGTTTGCAGAGGTGGGGAAGGTCATGGTCCGTGGTATACTTGGAGATGATGCAATGCGCAGATTCTTGTGTCTCTTCAGGCGGTCGCAGAGCAGGCTGTAGATTGCACTGTAGTGATCATAAGCATCGGCTCTTAATGACTGAAAGAGGAAAAGGAAGAAGTGGTCAGTTCTTTTTGGCAAGCAATAAAATACACTCCATCCTGTGCCGAGCTTGCTCAGTTGCCAGAGGCGATAAGCAACAAACACGGCCGTTTGATCTCTGGTGGGAGCAGGCGGGACACAACTGTCAGCTGTGGTGTCCTACCTGAATTGTGCGCTCCTTGTCCAGCCCCATGTCCGCCATGGCCAGCAGCACGTCTTCGTTCAGCGGCTCCATCTGCCTCTCCGTCTTCAGGTGCTGACACTCTGCTATCAGCTGCAAGAGCACAGACACAGACGTCAGCGCTGACATTCCCAAAGGCACACGGATGAGTCATCGCGCTCAGAAGAACCAGTGCACCAGCTTCGGCTGCAGCCTGGCATGAGCTGTGAAGGCTGATGGCACACTAATGCAAAATCTAGTGCCTTCGGCTCTCAGCGTCAAGGGGAAAGACTGCTGCTGCTTCTCACCCTCTCAAACTCCGCATCTGCCTCCCCCAGCTTCATCCACTTGTGTTTGCAGATCTGCTCCATGGAGAGCCGCTTGCTGGGGTCCAGGACCAGCATGTGGCGGATCAGATGTTCACATTCTGCAAGGGAGGAGAGAGGTTGGGTGACCCGCAGGGAGGGACACGGCTTCTGCCCGAGGCAGCCCGGCCCCGCAAAGGCCTGCTTTTCCCTTTCAAAGCAATGTGCTTCTCTGTAGCAAGCCATACACGGCACAAATATTGCTTCTCGTTCCCCACTTTGCACCCATTCAGTCCCCGAGCACACCACTGTGCTGCAGAGGTCTGATTTCCCTGTGCTGGGAAGGAAGGAAGCCACCCAGGCCAGCAGGCCCCTGTGCTGTTTGCCGGAGCCCCTAGGTGGCACGCTGTCACCCTGTCCACCCCACCCTGCCGGCACGGGCCAGGGGACACCACTGGCTTTTGGGGGTTGAAGGGCCAAGTATCCTCTGAACATTCCCCACTCAGCAACAGCTCACCGCGACCGATTTCTCCATCGTACTACGTGTGTGCTGTCACCACGGGGTGCTGCTGAGGCTCTCCCCATCTGGGGTGGGATCTAAGCTTGCTTTAAAAGCACCACACATTTCAGCAAGCTTTTCCTGCATGAAGAGAACCTCTTCCCCAAGTAAGATGGCAAGCAAGGAAGCTTTCAGCTGGGGAATCTCCACACAGCCCGTGCAAAATTATTCCTTAATCTGAGAGCAGGCAACCAAGAACCTGCATATGGCTCGTTCTTCAGTGAAGTTGGTTTTATCTGAGAATTCATCACACTTCTCAAACCCAAGATTTATTACTAAAGCATTCAAAAGCATTTTTGCAGAAACAGGACATAGATGTTCAACTGTGATGGGGCTATTGCTGGAAATCCATGTGCCATAATGCTGTAAAAAGCTTCTGGTCTAAAACAGGTTTAGTGAAAGCCTCTCTATTCCTCAGTCACTATCCCATTTTTAGCTTTCACATTTCCCAAAACTAAGTGTATCTTTGCTAACATTTTTGCTATAGTTTGCATAGTTACATACATGAAAACCGAGATTTTAAATAAGAGTATTTTGGTTTCTAAATTCTAGATTCAGAACTCATTTTAGCTTACGTTACAAACCACCATCCAGTGGATAAGCTTCCTGGCATACCACTTCACTGGCACATAAATCAACTGGTGGACTATAATTTAAGGGCTCCAAAGAATCTGTAAGTAGAGAAGCGACCAGCGCCTGCCCAGCGCTGCAGTGCGCGCACCCCTTACCTGTGGACATAAAAAATGGAATGCGAAATTTTCCGCTGAGCACCCTTGCCCGCAGGTTCTGCAGCGTGCTCCCGTCGAAGGGCAGAGCACCACAGACCAGCACATACAGCACCACGCCAAGACTCTGCGTCCAAAACAAAGGTCGTGTCAGCAACATTAGAGGGAGAGACCGGGAGGCTGCAGTTAATTGCAGTAAGTTTTGTTTAAACAGAATAAAATAAAGAAAAAGCAAATCCTGTTGGAATGGACCTTGTTGACATCTCAGTCCCAGGCCAGCTTAATTCTTCCTTCAAGCTTCAAGCCCAGTTTAGACTTTCTTTGAGCCCCAGAAGCCAAAGGTTAAAGCAGCCTACAGCCCCAGCCTGCCCGGGGCAGCCCTGCACCACCAGGCTCTGGCCAGCCTGCACGCCCGTATCAAACACAGCTTCAGCCGACCGAACGTGCACCCGTTTCAAACCCAGCTCCGCCACCCTTCCCTCCCACTCCTCCAGCTCGGCTGCCAGGTCAGAGGCCTTTACTCTGAGACATGTAGTAAGTATTCAGGAAGAAAAGCCAAACAGAGGAAAAATTAGATGAAAGTAAGAGGGAATGAGGTTCATCACTTACCCAAATGTCGACCTTTGGCCCATCGTATTCCTTTCCTTCAAAGAGCTCTGGAGCAGCGTAGGGAGGACTGCCACACCAGGTTTTAAGCAGCTGACCAGGTGTGAAGATGTTACTGAACCCAAAATCTGAAAGGAGAAAGAGAACCCATTAGAGGAACACAATGCACTCCAACTGTCCTAAACAAATGGTGTTTAAGTAATTTGCTGAGTCTAGCGTACAATCCCGTAAGGGATAACTGATGTACCGACACCAGAGGAACAGGAGAGCAACAGAGAGAAGAAGAGCAAGAACAATGTTGAGCACATCCATGTCATACAGTACAGCACTCACCCCAGTTAAACAACCTGCTGCAAGGTACCAGGACTGAGGCCCGCCTCACATACTCTAACCATACTGCTTTTGCCCAGCAGAACCCAAAGATCTTTCTACAAGTTTGCTCTTCACTTGCCACCCCTGGGATTTCCATGCTGGGGTCAATACACCAGCAGTCTGATCACCCAAGGTTGCTGTAGGTCAGGTGGATGGTTTGGAAGGAGCCTTCCACCTGAGATTCCAGAAATCCCCCATAAATCTCATCTGATAATTTCCAACCTTCAGCTTCTCCCATGTCGAGTTTCACAACTGCCTTAGGGCCAGGGCAGCCGCCAGCAAGGACAGAACGCAAAGGGAAAAAAGGATGGAAAATTTTGATTTTTAAGACAGCACTACATGAGCTGGAAACTTAGGTTACGGTGGGCAGCTCTACAAACCGAGTCAAATCATACCCCAACAGCAAATAATAAATCCTGAAAGAGAAATTAAAAGAAAGGTCTTAACCTTAAAGGCACTCAACCATCAGCTTATGTGGGCACTAATGGCATTCTCTGCTAATTAACCTGCCACCCCGGCACACAGCTGGGACTTGAACTGGGAAGAATAAAGAAACCAAAGTGCGTATTCAAGAGAACTGAGTTTTTACTTATAAAAAGAAAGAATCTTCACTAAATTTCTCAAATGAGTAAAAGCAAATGCACAGTCACAGCGAGGCGTCCTTGGAAGCAAGCTGTGTCAGAAGGAGCGGTGCCACAAGGGTTATCTGCAAACTGCTGTGCCTGTGTTTCTGCTACAAGCGTGCCAGCAGGAGGGGGAGTGACACTAACGCACGAGGACGGGGACCCACAGCAACAAGGACATTTTTCATGGCATTTGCACTGGCAGCAGATCCTCGCAGCAGGCTGGTGGGAGAAATACTGGAAAAAACAAGGAAGGCCAGACGCAGCAGTTTGCAAATTCTAACTGATTAAACCAAAAAGCATCATGGCAAAAATACACAGTACAGGTGCAGAAAGTAAAAATCTCTTATAAAGAGCTAAAGATGAATTTTGACTCTGTCACTGGTCAGAACAGTATCACAACAAGGCACTTAACCACCCAAACTTCCAAAACACAAGAGCAGTTGGCCTTTGGAGGACTATTTCAGGGAAACAGTACACAGCTGCACAATTGTCTTTTCTACCTCTGCGAGCTTTTGAGCTGCTTTGTCTCACGTTTGAAGCAGGATGTGTAACAAGGGCTGAATTACAGCTACCAGAGCAGGCAATAAAAACTATGGCACTAGATGTATTTCCCTCTCCTAACAACAAAGCATTTGTAGTCAAGTCGATGTAAGCTCTTCCCGACTGGGCAAGAACACGCTGGAATTTTGATACTTCACATATTTTGAGCAAATTATTCTGGTTGAGTTACTTTTATTTATCCTTGTACGTACTCCAGTGCACTTTGCAGCACTTTGAGAACCAGCCGCATTTCTGGCAGCGAGGGCAGAGCCGTGCTGCTGCTGCTGAACAGACACGCACCGGCTGCCTCCTGCAACCCTCCCTGCTTCCTAAGAGCTGCACGAGATCGGCTGTCTTTGAAACGTTACCCCTCTTTCACATGGGGTTGAAATTAGCCCAGGGGTTCACAGCTCTTTTTGACAGCAGAGGGGAGGTGGGCAGAGAGCGCGACCCGCAGAGCCTCTCCTTAAAGAACCGGGCTGGGAGGGCAGAGACGCTGCGAGAGTGTCGGTGTTCAACCTGCAGGTCCTGGAGCTCCTGCCATCACCCCACGCTGCCCTGGATTTCAGGATGAAAAGCCTCTCCCCGCGGAGAGCTGCTGCTCTACCCAGCACTTTCCGGGCTCCGGGTGAGTCACGCTGCTCGTCTCTGCGGGGAGCTGGAGCCAGGCGGCTCTGTCTTACACCAGGCGCTGCTCAAAGGCTGGAAGCGGCTTCCAGAACCCACCTGTGCTGCAGGAACTGCGGCCAAGGCTGGGGAGAACGGCAGGGATTTTTACAGACCCCAAAAAAGCTAAGGGGGGGGGCAGGATTTGAAAACCCCAAAGCAACAAACAACAGAACAAAATCTCAACTGAACAAAAAAAACAAACTACAGCTTAAATCAACTTTCTTAAAAATGCTGACAAGTCACCCCAGCCCAGGGAGACTTATAAATCCCAATCCCCAGGGAGCGACCAGGTCTCACTGCACAAACAGATGCAGAGGGGAAAGGGCATTTTTAAAGAGCAAGGTAAAAGTTATGATGATGTGATATAGGGAAAATATTTAAAGGAAACATCTCTGTGCTACAAAACCCTCCGTGTTTCCTCAGAGCAGAGCTTCAGGGAGCTGATTTTAGTATCTGCACAACAGGGACTTTTATTCTCAGAAGGTGAGGGAGCGAGCAGACTCCTGCAAACGAATGCAAAGCAATACATAGATCAGATTCCTCCCCGAAACCCATACCCCAGGAAGGCTTGGGCATTTAGCAATAATCTCAACTCCTGGCTGAACTCTCCGCCTGGGAGCAGAAGCAAACACAGTGCCAGAAGCTACTGACTCAGGCTCTGAGAAGGTACGCTGGAGAAAAAGCATCCATGGGAAAAAACGAGAGCGAGGGTGACAGCGAGGGTTCCTATCTTACTGTTTACGGAAAAATAGTAGAGTCACAATCAATCACCAAACGCCAAACCCAGAAAGCACACTTGTAGTCACCACCGAATGAGAAGAGCAGCATTAACCACTTAATGCTTAACACTACTTCACTAATGCTGGGCAAGGGATGCAAAGCTGCAGACGGAGCTCAGGAGTAACATGCTAGAAAGCGTGCACTGGGGAGAATGTGAAAGGTCAGAAAAACTCCAAAAGCTGATGGAATTATGCACATTACCAAAGACTGTGCATACGGGTATCAGAAGAACCAGAAAGCTGTACTCCCAGACTCGGGACTGGGTGTTTGGGATGACACACCGGCTCCCTGCATCCTTCAGGCTATCTGCACTGCTGCTACTTGGCAGATAAAAAGCCATCAGACCTACCAAGTGGAGCCCTCCAAAGACTATCGAGACATCTCCAGCTTCCATCAGCTGCACACAAATGCCCCACTGGGGAGGTTTGAGTTAGACACGGTTAACGGGTTTGGCAGTGACGGCTTAGCTGATCCTCCACCCTGTGTAGCAGGGCTTTGTGCGTTTCTGCAGTATTTATTCTGGGAGGTCTGGTGTGAAAGATCAGCTGCTATCGCTTTTTTTTTTTTTTTCCTCTTGAAACAATGGAAGAACTGGTGTCAAGTTGTAATTGATGAGTTATAGGGGCAAAACTTAATACTTGGAAAATCCTATACCATAAATCAGCTTTTCCAGGCTACTTTTCAGATCACTACTGTATCTTCCTGCCAAGTAAAACACCACCACCACCAGGGTGGGAACTATCTTCTAGAGGCCATTCTGGGAGCAGAGATTTGGAAGGAAAATAGTTTCCAGCTCCCTTAGATTAAAAAAAAAAAGTTTCCACAATTTTCAGACAGTCACAGAGCTTGTCAGCATGCTCCTGTGGATGTTTCTGTAGGAAATCCAGCCATATTCCAGTTTCTACCTGGGGTATTCCTCACAGACTGAAAAGTTTTGTAGCCTTAAGCACTTGTTTTGTTTGTTTTTTTTTTTAAATCAAGTTACAAACCCTTCTAAAAGCCAACCAGCTCTCCAAGGAAGCCTATTAAGAGAGGGGGCAAAGCGCTTTCCAAAAATGCTCTGCTATGCATTTAGGCTCTAGCAGAATTAGATGGTAATTATGAGCTCGCCCAATTCAAAAGCCCATGAAATGAGATGACCAGGGTGGTATTAAATCCTCCTGTTTCAATCGGTGGCTACATAATCCCAAAAACCTCAATACAGTCAAGTCTAGTCGGTGCATCACAGAGCTCGGCAGCCAAGGCTCAGCTCATGTACGAGAGGATCGCAGACACGCAGGCCTGTGGGAGGCCAGTCTAGAAGCTGTTTCCCCATCACTGCTCTACCATAAACGTTGCCATCCTAACTTTCCATTCTCTCTCTCTCACCTGGGCTGACCTGCTTCAAAGGCCTAAACCAGCAGCAGCACCCAAAACAAGGTCCATTTTTTATTATTAATCTTGCCCATTACCCAGTATATTGGAACACTGCAGTATCTGTAGCCACATATCTGCCTACAAAGCCCAACTTGTTTTTTTTTCTTCTTGTATTTTGCACTACTTGAAGGGGGATATAAATCTCCTGGCTACAACCTGGCAGCTTCAGCTCTGGGCAGCAGGCCACACCGAAATCCAAAGCTTCCTTTAGCTGCACTGCGCTTCCTTCTCTCTGAATACCTGGAAGCAGCCAATGCCTACATTTATTAACTCCTGAAAGCAGCTGCCTTCCTCCCACACCGCCAGCCCTAGCTCACCTGCTATTTTGATGTTAAGGTTAGCATCCAGAAGGAGGTTTTCTGCCTTCAGATCTCTGTGGACTATATTACGACAGTGACAGAAGTTGACAGCGGCCACTATTTGCTTGAACTTTCTCCGGGCTTCCTTCTCCGCCATACGTCCGTGGGCCACCAAGTGATCTGTAGGGGACAAAACGAAGCACAAAGTGGTTATTCACACAGGGAGCACAAACCAGACGGGCTTCTTGCATACTTGTGGCAAGCGATGCAGAGGACGGAGATGGGGAACGACCTCAAAAGACTTCTGGCCAGAAATAGGCTGAGGGGGTTCATTTCGCTCTATAAACTCCATCAAGCTGAAGGGTTTGATAGAGGTATCTGCTTTTGAAAATAATAAAAGTAAATCACTTCTGAAGGCTTCTCATCAGGTGGTTGTATTTTTCCCAGTCACCCATTAATTAAAATACCTGCAACATAATTGACGTGCAGTAAATACTAATTACCAAGATCCATCAAAGCAGTTCTGCTGGCTCCTGACTGCACAGCAGCCCACTTCTCTACGCGGGACTACTCATGTTGTGCCACAGAGCCAAGTTCATTGACAAGTTCTCTGAAAAACAAGTTTTCTTCATCGGGTAAACGTATTCCAAATCTGAACCAGGGCTGGGGAAGGAAATCCATCACCAATTCCAATACGACCCTCAAGTCACCTGCTAGGAAAAGCAAGCAGCACAGCCTGCCGATGTAGCAAGCATTGGTAAAACAAAGTGAGAGGCTCCAATCTCTCCACACTTCTGAAAATATTTTAGAGATTCTCCTGCAGGCAAGAAATCAAATCCAGCTACTGCAGCAGGAGTATTTCTACAAGGCTCTCCAAATGGTGTTTTTGCCCAAACCGGGTTCGCCGGTCCCCCGCACAGACAGGGACACATGCCGTTCGGTCCCATGTGCTTCGCAGAGTCTTGCCCCCTCACACAGAAAAATCCACTGCCCCTTTTATCAGTCAGTCCTGCTTAGGCTAGGAAAAAATAAAAAAAAGTCTTTCTAGGTTAGGCGTGAAATTTCACTTTTCATGAAGAAATGTGAGCCGAGGCCGGTCCCCAAGCTCTGCACGTAGGCACAGCGCTTGGAGACCGCTGACATTTCTGCACAAGCTCCAGAGGAAGGACAGAAACAATGAAGCTACAGAATACTTCACATACCACCAAGGGCAACTGTATGCCAAAATTAACCATTGCAAGCTTAGTCTGCATAAACCTCTCATGCAACGGAGGTTAGAGCGATGACCTGAGCGTTCAGCTGGGAGCCAGAGCACCGCGTCCAGCAGCACAGCCTCGCCGCCGGTCCCACGCATGTCAGTGTGCCTGGGGGAGCTGAAGAGGCAGACGGCGTTGGTCCTTCGAGCATTTTCCAGAGAGGAAGGAATGCGTGATTTCATTTCACTGCCCTTAAAAACACCAGTTGCTGTTCTGTGCACTTATATGCAGCACCTGAAGCTGCTCGCTGCATGACAACCCAGGAAAATCCTACATCGAAGAAAAAGCATCTTCTGGTGACGAGACAGGACTGGACACGAGTTCCCACTTTTTGCCTCTGGACAGACTCCTTGCACTTTTAAGTTGCTTTCTGTCTGGAAAGCAAACGCTGCCTAAGCTTCACATCTCCTCCGTGTGGTGGATGAAGTTAAATTTCCAGCGTATTTGGTGACCTTGTGATCTCAGAAGCAGTCTGACCTCCTGGAGTACTGCATCGCTTACCGCAGCCACGCAGTTCATGCTCAGAAAGCTCAGGACAAGCAGGAGGAGATGGAGAGAAGAGGCAGAGACAGCAGACACGCTACCCGCATTAACCCGATGAGAATTTTATCCAGTTTTCTGAGATTTTTTTTTTGTTAATCAACCATGTACCCATATTCTTGTCACTGAGGACTGCAGATTATTGACAGCATTCACAGTAAACAGCTGAAATCAAGACAGACTTTTAGACTACATCCTGTTTGACCTCAAAAGAAGGACACTCGAGGGACCCGGAACAAGCAGCACCCTGTGTTTAAAAGGAGACATTCATTTGTTCGTGATGTCAAACCAGCAACCCAACCACACGCAAAACATGCACAGGGACAAAAATAACAATTTACATTTTGCTGCAGAAAGCAAGTCTCCTCCCTGATCCCTGTGCGCCGCTACGCAAACAAAGTGAATTATCAACCCGCTTCCAGTAACAGATGAATCAAAGACACTTACAGCACAGCCTGGCCACTGAAGGAGCTCTCAGCCCCTTTACTGGAAATTCAGATAAACAGGTTGCGAAGCCCTGCTAGGTGCTAACCCAGGGAAGGCTGTGGAGCTCCGACCAGCAAGGGACAAGCAAGGCAAGCATCCAGCACAGACCGACTTAAACCAAGGCCGTTCAGAGAAACCACCATTCTTTCCACTAAAAAAATCCATCCTGTATTACTGCTGATGTAATATTTACAGATCTATGCTACAGTCTAAACCTTTGAAAGTCTTTTTAAAGCATCAAGGGGAACAACTTATATTTACTCCTAACAAAACCTTGCAGTTCACACAAGTCGGACGCTGTTTTTCAGGGTACACGACG